GATTTGGCTGTTTGTCATCGGCGGCGCTGTGCTTTGGGTGCCCTGGCTCTGCATCCGAATTTCTCAAAGCACTGCGAAGCCTTTGCGGGTGTCGGAGGCTGGCTGTGATGACGCATCCCTTCAAAGAGACCCTCGAAATTTCGAGAACCTCCACACCAGATGCTGTATCGTTACTGTAGCGGTCGGCACCCAGGCCCTGACATGGATCCTGAGCATCAAGCCTGCGAAGGCCGGAGTCGCAGTGGAGTGAGCAAGATATGTGAGGTAGGCGTAGGATTTGTAAAAATCTCTCAAAGCTACGGATGGACGAGGATCGGTTCTCCTTGATACAGAGCAGCAGCACCGGAACCTCCGAGACCATACCCAGACTGCCTCTAAACCCAAACTTTAACCCTAAACCCCGAAACTTCTGCCTGAACGCAAAGCGCATCTCTCCTGAAAAGGATGCGGAAGGCACCTACAGGACCTACATCGGAGCTGGCGCGCTGCCTCCGGATCCCTGGAATTCAGATTTAGGATGTCCGGGTCTATGAGGTTCGTTTAGGCGAAGGTTTACCTTCTGCGTATTTGTAGTGCTGGGTGCAGGGTTTGGGTTCTGAATCTCAAGGTTCAGGGTTCGGGGTGGCATAGATTCAGGACTACATTTCAGGCTTGGCTGAGACATGTGCCAGAGGTAGACTCCAATTTCCCGAGATCGATCCTGTGCTGGGAGGCCCTGACAACGAATGCCATTGCTTGAGCCCCTAAATGATACCTGCAGCACGCGTTTGTTCAGATCGCTTGTGGATTCCGGAGCACTGTTTGCTAAAATGCAATCTAGTTAATGACGTTTAGTTTAGTTAACCTTCAGTCTGATCTAATCTAATCTAGCCTAATCTAATAATGTAGTATAACATAATACCACGTAGTGTCAAGTTGTGCTACATTATGTAAACGGCATCGGGGCCAAGGACGGATTCACCAACCCTGCCGACCCCCGCGTGGTGGAAGAGGCAGTCGGTGGTAATCAGGGTTTATGATGCAACATCGGATTTTGCACCGCGCGTCGCGAGTACCCGTTATGCCCATACAATTGCTGTTGCGAGATGCAACAGCCTCAGATATGGCTCGCAGCACAATGCAACCAGTGTGGCTCTATGTGAGTGCTTCAGGTTTCTGCTTAAGTGCTGTAAAGTGCTACCCTAAACCCGAAGCCCTAAGCCATGATAAGAGAAGCTTCACTCCGAACTCCAAGCTCATCCCTGCGCAGTTGGCGGATGAGGATGATGAGCTTTACAGCGACGAGCTTCGACCCGGTGACGCCAAGGTGGGACGTCTGCGGGCTTTGTTTCATACTGGCATAATAGGCTTAGAAGCAGAGAGCTTCATTAATTAGGTCAAGTCTTCTGTGATTCTTGGGTTCGGGAGCTGACTGAGCGAGAAATTCGGCAGGATTGTCGGATGAGGTTTCGACAGCACATAACCACAGCAAGGTCTACAGCGGACGGCAGATTGTCTAACGTGCGGAATTCTCATCCTGAGACATTGGCAATCTTGCAGCCGTCCTGCTAGAGGGGCTCAGCAAGAGGGGCTCAGCAGCCGTCAACATCTGAGCCTTTGTTCCAGGCTGTGCCATGCTTCCCAAGCGGTCAGAACATTTTTTGCATGTAATCATGCTATGCATGCGAAGCTGAAAACTCTCAGTGGCTACGAACCATCCTAGGTCCTAGAGTTTCGGTATTATAGTTCCTGACCTCTGAACTAGACAATGCATACCATGACATTCCTACACGCAAACGGCCAAAATCGCTGTGGAACCGAAGTTCAGGCAAAACACGTGACTGTGGTTTAGTGTGGATGTGTGCAGTTAAAAGCCACACTCCACCCCTAAACACGAGACTTTCCGACCACAGGGCAAGCGGGCCGCCAGCTCTGCCATCGTTTGAAGAGGTGCCCACCTCAGACAGACCGTCGTATATGGAGACCTTCATGAAGAGCCGAAGAAGATTCGGGACATTGGTACAGTGAAAGGTGAGGTTCCACCAGCCCATAGCATTCAAATGCCCTATTCCAAGCTCTTTATGTGCACATTGCGGCTGACTCCGAGTCGGGAGTCTCATGAAGCGTTCTTTTGGTTTTGTTGTGGGCCCTGCAGGACAAACCCAGGACGCAGGTGAAGGGAGGTTCAGGATTTTTCCGCGATTGTGGGGAATGTCTATGTGACGAAGTTGGGTTTGCGTTGCTTTTGGCTCTGGAGCTGCGAGTACCGCGGCACACTAAGTTCTCAACCTCCAGCTACCGCTGATTCAGGTCCACACTTGACTACTCAGTGGAGGTGCAGATGCTCTTGCCTGCAAGTGCGCCGGGTCTCGCCATCGGATGCTGCTGAGCTTGGCTTGTTGTCAACAAACGCCCAGTACATGCTATCGAAGCTCCTGATTCATCCTGGTTGAAAGTTGTTGTCGAGCATCAGTGGCTCAGAGGACTCGTAGCAGACTCCAGCACAGATAATTTCCTCGTTTTCTTTTTTCGCCACCGCTTGAGCCCCTTCACTTCGCGGGAAGAGCGCTTCGGGTTCTGATCCGTTAATAGGGAAAGTCGCCGAGGTTTTTGTTGTTTCGTGTCTGTCCTGCTTGAAGGAGCATTTTCCAAGCGTGGCATGCTCACATGCATTTGAGTTGGGCCTGTGCAGCAGTTTCACATGCCAAGCCCGATTTTAATTTTCTGCCAGCAGAAAGCCAAACCAGTGAGACACAGGAGTATACGATCGATACGAGGACAGAGCTGATTTTGGACCAATGCCCCTTCAATGTGGGTACCTCACCTACGCACGGGAAGATGGTTGAACCAGTAGCTTTAACCGTAGCAAGCCCGATACGACATTGCTGGCGCAACCTGAGCTAGGCTTCCGACCAATCTGAGACAGATGGTCAGGGACCACAAGTTGTCAGATGCAAAAGCGTGGCCGTCTGTGACGATTGCCTTGTTGCATGAACTTCCCAGATCTGCGTGTAGCTGCACGAGTCGTGTGCAGGCATTTCGCAGCGATCCGCGGCTGTCCGAGCGCACCTCGCCCAAGCAGCCAAATGAGAGTGCTGCTACATAAACCAAGTGCGCACAGAGCGCGAAAGAGAGAGAGACTGACAGAGACGGGAAGCCTCACCAGCACCTCTCCAGAAGAACAGACATCTCACTCGGATTTGGCAGCGAGTTGACATGAAAGCAGTCCCGTCCACGAGGAAAGCCATTTTTATACTGATTGTCATCATTCCAGTGATTGTATTCCGCGACCCTCTCAGGTCTCCAAGATGAAGACGCGTATCTGGGGTGCCGCGGTTGCAGTTTCGTAGTCCTAGCTTCTGACATGTAACATGTGTAGCCATCGGACAGCTGCGGAACGGCGGGCACGGAAGGGGCCTGCTTCGGCCACACTAGTGGTCACTATGTTCAATACTCGCAGACGTACTTGGCGGAATGAAAACTTCATGCTCCTCGGAAGGCGTAGAACTATGGAGCTACAGCCGCAGCTCTGGAAGACCCACTCAAGGTTTATTTCCATGAGTCGGGCCTAAACGGGAAGTCCGAATACCCAGCGCTTGTCCGTGACCAAAACAGGCCGATCACTTGAGCGAGGTTCGAAAGTGAGCTAAACCCTGCCCTATCAAAACACGCGTGTAATCAGCCGCGTTGACATGACTGCTCCCTCTCTCTCTCTCTCTCTCTCTCTCTCTTCCTGGCACCACAGTGGAACCTTGAGATTCAATACAGTCACTGCCCCGGTTGTTGGATTGGAGTTGCTACAATATGCAGACGGCAAAATGTCAGAAGTCCATGGAGAACACTCGACTTCAGATCAAGATGCAAGTTCAAGCTTCGACGTGCCATTATACAACTTGTGTGAAGTGCCATAAACCTCCAATAGAGAAAGTGCATCGACGGACTAATGCACCATCGAGTCTAGCACAGGCGAGGCTGCAAAGCCTGGAAGCCACTGTAGCAACACAGTAGCCACAAATTCAAGTTTGCATCGCGCACTTTTCGAGGCGCATCATTAACCAGATCGGCTCGCTCACAGATCCGGATCAGGCAGACTACGCCTGATCCTCAGCATCCCTTGGCATGGAAATTCGTGAACGCCCTTCGAAGATTCACTTTCGATAACGCAAGGCTCCGGTTTCATGCTGTATGACTCTATAGACTTATAATATAGCTTGGTCCGGACTTCCCCAAAATTCACGATGTCGCTTGTTTGGCCTGTTGCCCGTTCTTGTTCACTCTCTGAAGTAACTACATAAGTAACTATGTATGTAAGTCAGTATATGTGTATGTAGGCATGCATGTAAGTGAGTGAGTAAGTAAGTGAGTAAGTGAGTAAGAAAGTAAGTGAGTAAGTGAGTAAGTAAGTAAGTAAGCAAGCAAGTCACACTGTATGTAGTGTACTGTACTGTACATAGGTAGATTTGTATGTGCTTGTCTCATTGCTAAAGTCCTAGTTCCGGGTGGCAAAACACGATCGGCATTGTCAGATCATTTCTCATGCTTTTTGAGTAGCTAGACAAGCAGTCGTGCAATCTGCGAATTGGCTGATTCCTTTACGGCAGCATGGACTGGGCCAGGTGAGGTACTTACCTACAGATCCACATGGCAGCCTCCCAGATGGCGCACCGCGGATGTCGATTCAGCCCGGGTTGTTGTCGGGGTAGTTCAAGGATTGCGGCGATGTAAATAACCTTTTTAACAGTTTTACAAGTCACCCTCTCAGTGCATCCGTATAGATTGCCTCGAGTCCCTTGGGAGTCGCCCTATGATGAAACATGAAGGTCGACTTCCGACGCAACATCATCACCTGTGAGGATGTCCTGAAGCAGATCATGTGCCACCAGGCAGGCCAACTGTCTGGAGCTGAAGCAGCCCTGGAGTCGAACGAACCTTAAAGCGTTTGGACGTCGTCGGCTTCAAGTACTTCCGATTTCTGGGACTGGAATTTGCCTCCGCACCCAAAGTTCGATCTCCTCCTTGCCATGTTGAAAGCCGATCTCACAGATGTCCTCAAGCCCTCCTTCATCTCCCTGAGGACCGAGGCCCCTCACGCCTAGACCCTCAGCTTCAAAGCGTATCCTACTCTGAACACCGGGAAATCCTGATGAACCAATATGAGAGTTTCAGAAAATGACGGACCCTGACTGATAAACAACATCCCAAATCCTGGGACCCGCATACTACAAACCCCCTAATTAAGACGGGACACCCACATTTTATGCAACATCCCTGTTTCGGTCCCCAATACAGTACAGCACTCCTATAATAAGGGCCCTAAAAGGGACCCTTGTTTAGAAAACTTCCCCAAACCCAACCCTTACAGGTCCCTTACAGGCACCCTCGAGGAACCCTTGAAGGGGATCCTAGTTCAGAAAACTACCCTTATACGACTCTTATAGAAACCCTGTAGAAACCTTCTTTAGATCCCTTCCTACAAGCGGCCCTAGTTCAGAGAACCACCCTTATAGATCCCTTAAAAGGAACCCTTGAGGAACCCGTTAAAGGGACCCTAACTCAGAGAAAACTACACATGGTCCCTAAACCCTAAGCCTTGCAAAGGGACCCTAGCTCAAAGACAACCACCCATGGTGCCAAGAGGTCTACCTTCAGAAAGATCTCGGCTCCCTTCGGCGTGTGCAGCGCCTGCTCTCAGGCCCTTAAAGGGATTTTGGGAGTCTCCGGGGAGTTTGCACAGTCCTGCGTGGGGCTTATGTCATTGCTCCTGAGTGCAAGTGATGTCCAAGCCCTAAACCCTGAACCCTAGTTAGGGTTTAGGGTTGAGGGTTTAGGGTTGTGCAATTACTTTTTATGGTTTGCTGACACGCAGTAGTCGTGGAGGCTGCCGCTTCCCAGCTGATGCAGGATTTGAATCTGGGATCAAAAACTTTTTATGACGTAGGCACCAAAAACCTCCAGACGTCTTCGATGGAGGCATGATTTCTTCGGCTCGAGACTCTGGCGATCCGTCGGCCGTGCAGAAGGCGGCCTTCAGGGCAAGTCTTGGGGCTTGAGAATACTGAACCTGCAATGACAATACTTTATAAGAGAGATAATAAAAGATAATAGCTTCATCACCAAAGCAAGAAAATTTTACGAGTAGCTTACCTGCGCAATATTAAATAGTGGCAGACGTGGCTCCCGGTGACGTTTGGGCTGAGAGGTTCACCGATCTATCGTGGAATCGGGTGCTGCCCTCAGATTGTGCAGCCAAGTACTGGTGCAGGTGTGCAGCAGCAACCATTATAACCTTGGGTGAGTTGCTCTGGTGAAGCTGTGGAAAGCAGAAGCCCGTACTCCTGAAACTTGAGAATCCCAGGCATCACGCAGCTGATTGTGCAAATGTTGGATGACCAGGTTTTTGTGGGAGCCCCTGCCTCCCGGCTGCTTATGACGAGCCAGCCCCCCCTGCAGCATCCGGGTTTTGCCAGTCGGATTATCATAGCACGATAAGTCAAAGCTCAGTGCAAAGCAGGGATGCAGGAAGATTGCAGGGCTTGCAGCATGCTTGGGTCTGTCCAGAATTAGCTTGCGCAGACAAGGCATGGCTGCTAAAGGAAACGAGAGAGGCACTAGACTCTAGACTATTACGTAAAATATCTATATAAACTAGATATTCTGTTTACGGTTGGTTATATACTATATAGTATACATAATATATGAAACGGGTGCCATGCTTGCTTATGTGGCAGCCAGCCACAAGAGGGCCCTCTAGAAAGGCGGAGGAATCTGCTGTCTTGTTGGGAGGTATGACAAACCGAGGCTTCAGCCGGCCAGGACCACTGCTCAATCTGCTCGGCCAGTAATCGCCGTAAACCCGACGACCTCAGGAAGATGTCACCGATGCCGCATGGCAGCTGCTGATCGATGTCCTCTGTGAGAAGAGGACCTGCAAAGCCTGAGCGTACCACCCCGTCCTTCAGCATTGCACACAGATCCCACGTGTCATACGTGTTCAGGGGTCTATGCTTTGGCATTCACGCGTCATGCGATTGTGTTAGGTCATGGTACTTAAGCAAGTCGGAGTCCTTGTAATCACTGAGCTTGGGTTCTTGATGTTCAGTCCAGCAAGCTATCCGTCCTTTCTAGAGCCGGAACCCTAGACTAAACCCGAGGGCCTGTTTCCTCTTACGACTGCAAGCCCAAAGAATGGCTTCGAGCCAGCTTTGCTCTGTGTGTCAGCGACACTTCGAGTTCGATGCTGCAGTTCTCAAGGTAACCACAAGCCCACACTCTAAAACCCTGCAGCCTGAGGTTCGAAACGACCTGAGCCGAGTTTCGAAGCCTTCCTCTCATATACCGTATACCCTAATAGTACGACCTTCAAGGCTGTCGGCTCTGCACCTTGAAGGAGTGCCTCTGGTGTGCAGCAGGTGAGCAAAGCGGTGCAGCAAAGCATCCTCCAGGTCTGCAAGACAGGTCGGGGTCCAAGCAGCCAAACGTGTCAAGGGGGCCGAAATCTGGGGAACCTTTAGGGCTTTTAGGGTTTAGGGTGCAAGCCGAGACAGGCAGTCAGACCGAGACAGAGACAGAAACAGACAGACAGACAGACATGTACGAAGGTCCACACGAAGAAGTGCACGCCTGTCTTTCTGTCTATCGATCATCCTTTGGTTTTCTATCTTGCTGCTTGTACGTACCATGCGGTTAACACTTTAGTATCCGGATTGTTGTTCTGAGTGGTTTAGCACGCAAGCATCTTTAGTACCTCACCTAGGACCTCGGAGCTTTACCTGAGGTGGGTGCAGAAACCCACACCACAAGAAATCACTTCAGCTGAACTATGTGTCCTTCTGCGCTCAAGTTAGTGTGCCATCTGCACGATGGCAAGTTTTCCGGGTTAGTCCGGAGCGATTTCAGAAAGGCCCAGTCGGCCAAAAGAAAGTGTACTGAAATTCGCCCTTTTACCTGTATGCAGCTGATGCCCTGTGCTTTGGAGGCGTGGATGCGGGCATGTTCGAGTCCTTTCGGGAGATACTTGGCATCGTCATTAGCAGCTCGGCTGAAAGAAGCCCTGATCCTTGCCGACACTTTGATGACGCCTGCCAGCCACCGAGTTTTGAGTACGTGGGTAGTTTTCTAAATTAGGGTCCCTTTTGGGGTCCTTTTTATAAGGGTGCCGTACTATTTGGGGGACCTAAAAAGGGACCCTAATTTAGAGAACTACCCATGTCGGAGTCTTGTTGCTCTGCAGCTCCTCCACAAACTCAGAGGTTTGAAGGAAGCCCGACGAAGGCAGCATAGCTGTGGCGGAAGACACGCAGAACATCACAGCAAGCCAGCGACTTCGAGCGCTCAGTGGGGGATCGCGTTGCTGGCAGCTGAAGCAACCGAGCTCGGGTACATGCGCCTACAATCGACTGCGTGATGATGTTTTGCAGCTAACCCGATCCGTTCTGCTTGCTGCATGGGCTAAAGGATTGGTATGTGACTTTTGAGGTGCGGTGCTTATCTGCCGTGGCTGGTTTCTGTCTTGCCTTGTTCGCTGTCCTTCTGCACTGCTCTATTCAGAAGAGTCGAAGCACTGACTTCGGTGACCTGGCAAGCAACAACCAGCAAGAGGTAGCCGAAACAACGCAGGGCACGTTGCAACATGCATTTTGGGCAACTGGTCTTCCGAAACTCTAGTCGCTTGTCGGAATGACTGTGCCCCCGAGGCAAGTCCAAGGCAGTGCGAAGCTTGACTCTTGGCCAAGAAGTGTCAGCTCTTCAACCGAATGCAGAAGCATCCAGACTAGATGATCCTACACCGTTTCTTGGCCCGTCGTCCTCGGTGATATTCAGGCGAGTATTGTGTTGAAAGCTTGTGTTCAAGACGGTCTACCCGCGGGTCGCGCCGAAGTATCATCGCTAGCGACCGTCCCGGTTTCTGGGAGGCAGAGAGTGCAGGCCAAGGGCATACGGCTTCGGTTTCGAAAGGGCAGTGCCAAATTGTTTCCAGCTTTCAATTCCTTCGAACTGTGAGGAAGCTACTCGCCAAGCTGAATCCAGAGGAGCCCTCGAATGCACTCAGAGTGTGGATTTGTGAATGTTCTGGGGTTTAGGGTGTGGAAAGCTGGGTTGCAAACTATCATGCATGTCCTCCAGGTACACCTTGAACGCCATAGATCAAGGCCTCAGGCTTTGGCGATGCGCGCCGTCTAAAATAAGGTTTGTGCAAGAGTGGCCTGGAGTACGGATCGTGGGATCACGGGCACTTACAAAACAGCCAGAGAGCTTAATTAGGGATGAATGGAGGTCGTGGGGGTTACGACTTGGAGGTGGTGAGAGGCACTGGCATAGACTTTTGTTTTAAAGGCACCGAAATCCTCTCATCATGTTGCCGCAGGCCTTGCGCCTGACAAAGTAGACTTGACTGCAGTTGACGGGGCTGACAATGCAAACGTTAATATGATATTTAATATGAGCGAATGCGTGCCCCGGAGCCAGCTGCATCTTGAGATGTGCACTTCTGAGAGGAGCAGCGCCAAATTGACGACCTGAAGGCAGCTGCGGGAGTTTGCAGATGCAGGGTTGAGCCTGACCGATGGGGGTGGAGGTGTGTGTATTGGGGTTCACTTACAGGCGTCTCCATGCAGAGGCCGTTGCAGCGATTTTGTCGAAGGTTCGGGCTAGCTCGTAGATGTTGTGACATGTTGCGGGATTTGGGCTTGACGCGCTAAACAGGTTGCGTGGTTCAGATGTGCGATATGCCCAACCAACTGTAAGAAACGGGACGTGCCCTCCACCCGTCCTGAGTTACTAAACAGTTGGCCTTACAGACCACCTTGCGCCTGCTCCACACCGTAAGCTTGTCAGTCCATGCACATGGGACTCCGAGAATCCGAGAATCATTTCCGAAACGTTCGGGAAGGCCAGCATGAAGGATGCAGTGCGTGCCATGGAGGCGTGGAGCTCTGATTAGGCGAAGCTTTGGGGTCTTGGAGATTCAGAAGCAGGTACTGCAGAACGTAGTGCAGGGTATCGTATTTGCTTTGAGGTTCGAGCTTTCGTTGTTTGGTGTTGCCTCCGAAAAGCTTGGGCTACAGCATCCCAGAGCGCTTCATGCCCTTGTTGCTTCGCAAGACTGCCAAGCTTCAAAGCTTCTCTATAAACCCTAAACCTAGCCGGGACATTGGGCTCATTGCCAGAAGCCCCTGCCAGCCTTTGCGAGCGTGAGCGCCGAAACCCAGCCGGGAGCTGCAAGGCTACAAACCTTCGGCTCAAAGCCTACAAAGGGGACAGAACTTTTTCGGGTAAGTGATAGCTGCCCGCCTAGTCCCGGATTCAGGGTGGCTGGCCAATGCAAGGCACCCACCCTCAACTCAGAACATCGCTGCTCCAAATCCGGAATTTGAAGTCTGTCCTGGGCTTGCAGGTTCCTATTCATTGGTATACGGCTGAGGCGGTGATAAACGTGATCATGATGTGAATATGATGATGCCGGCGATGAGGATGCGGATGGATGGGGAACATGAAGTGGGTAAACCCTTAACCGGGATGTAAATCATACAATGCTACGCTTGATGATATAAATCCTGCATTACCCATAATACGGAAATAGAAGGAATATACCATAATTCCCATAGTTTAGGGTCCTTACATAAGGTACTGCAGGGTTTCGATCATCAACCCTAGGACCTAGGAAGATCGAACCCGGGCCGGGGGTTCGAGGCCATGCGGCTCATGGTGGAGGGGCACTTCTTCCCGATGCAGCAGCACCTGAGCTCGTTGAGGTAGGTAGGTAGGCAGGTAGGTTAGGTGGGTAGGGCTGTTTTGCTTAAGGGGGATCGAGGCTGCTGACGCTCGGATGTCCCCGAGTCTGGTCTAGGATCCAGTTGGGCTCTTTTTGAGTATCCTGCTTGTGGGGCTCAAAGTGGGATGATTCGAGAGGCGATCGGGCTTCCGAGTTTGGTGTCGAGCTTGAAGTTTAACAAGTTATTGGCCGGGGGATTCAGTTGAGCCTCCCTTCGTGCGTGTGGCTGTGGAAATAGAGGGATCCGTGCTTCAGTAAGCCCAGGGACTCAAACTTAGGGCACTCGTTTTAGCACACTTTCCCCAAGCGATCCACGACGTCCGCTTCGGGATCCAACTGCGAGATCCAGCTGTAGATGGATTCAATGAGACGCACGTTGGATAAAGAGGAAAAAACGCTGCAAATTGTAGGGTTTTGGGCATGTTCGCAAAA